GGGGGGGGTGGGGAGGAGCTGGAACAGAAAGTCCCAGGAAGCCCGGTTGTGTCATCGCCGCGATTCGGCCCCCGCTCGGCCTGCTCCCGGCGGCGGCGGCGGCGGCGGGGCCGCGGAAGGACCGGGCTGAGGGTTGACGGGCGAGGCGCTCGAGGGAGACCGGGGCCGGGCGGGAGCGGGGTGGGGGTTAGCTGGGTCCCTCCTCCGGCCCCCCGCGATGAGGAGGGCCCTTCACGGAACCGGGGTAAGGCGTGCGGATCTTGGGGAGCCCGGTGGTGGCCGGGGGGGCCGGAAGTGGGCTTTGGAGCTTGGGGGGCGTCTAGGAAGCGAGAAAGTGGGGGGCCGGAAGTGCAGGTGGGGGGTGTGAAGACGGCAAGGGTTCCCCGGAAATGGGATGGGGGGCCCGGAAACCGGGAGAGAGGAGGCTCCAGGGCCGGGGACGGCCCGGAAATGGAAACTAGGGAGCAGCTCGAGTGACAACAGTTGTGGGAAGCGAGGGTCAGAGGAGGGAAGAGGCCGGAGTGACTTTAGACCGCAGTAAGGGGTTTCCTGCCAAGGGGGGAGGGTTGTGGGCGGGCGAGGCCGGAGACGGGGTCTGCGCTGGGCAGTTTCTTTAGCCGTGGGAAGTTGAGGCTGAGTGAGGATGACGAAGAGACGGGCATGCAGGGGGTCTGGAAAAGAGGCCGAGAAACTTGGCTGAGAAGAGCAGAGCATGCTTCTTAATAGATCAGAATGGAAATCGGGGGTGGGGGTCCAGGACTTGGGAGGGAGGTGGACCAATTGTCACTCCAATCGTATTAGCATTCAAAGCGAATCAGGCGATTAATTTATTTATATGTGGATTACATAAAACCTATTACATCGTTTGTCCATTCAGTTCCCCCTCTTCTGCATCCTCCTCCATGGTGAGTGGGTTTCTAGTTCAGAAACAAGTTACAGGGGAGTTCAAATAACGAAGGTTGGAAAATCCCAAATCCTGTCCTTGGTGGCGCTTCCTTCCTCAGAGTAACAGGAATCCTTAATTTGCTACAGGGAAGAAGATTAATAAAGATTTAAAAACCCATGCAAATCGGGAGGAAATAACTTAACACATTTGAACTGCTGGGGGGACGGGAGGGAATTGGTTACCCTTGTGTGGTAAGGAGAGAACGGAAGGGGCTGCTCCTAAACCCTTAAGACAGGTTGGTTGGTTTTTGATAACGCCGTTTTACTTTGGGGACGTTTAGCTTAAGCATCGTGTCTGGCGGTGGGTAGAGTTTAATTGCTTCGTTAGTTAATTGAAGGAGGGACTGTGTCAGTGAGTAAACGTTCGTGTGTGAGGGGTGCGGGGGTACGTTTAATAGCGCAGTGAATGTGTTCTGAGTGGACGTCTAACTGCTCCCCTGCTGTCTCCTTTCCTAGTCGGCCTTCCCCGGATCTTGCCTGGGCTGCCAAATCACCCGATCCCCGGGCTTTACTCCGTTTTGTAGGCCCTTTAGTGCTGTGTTCAACTTTCTGTTCCTCTCCAGTCTCTCTGTAGATATTTTTGGCATTTCATTTTTTAAAGACCCAGAAAGTTGAGGCTGAGGATCTTCTCTCTAAAAACAAAACAAAACAAAAAATATAGGGTAGAAAGTTGAAAGAGCTATTGAGTGGGGCAAAAAACCGACGCTAGGAACAAAGGTCCTAGTTACTGGGGAAAAAGGCAAGAGGCCTATATGTGAGGCCTGTGTGTGTGTCGCATTTACTCGGGGTGGAGGGGAGTGGGGGGGGCGGTTAAGGTTGAGGAATGGCATTATCAGGTTTAGAGACAATCAGTTGGCAGATGGTTTTATTGAGGTTTATTTTCATTATGCAAGGAGATCAATACTAAGTGTGAATTTTAAAGTAAACAAAATTTCTTTTGAAATAACCTTGCTCCCATTTTCAGGCCCAGAAATATTAATTTATTAGTGTGGCTTTTACATCATCTTTGTGAGATTGTTTGGGGAGTTTTTATTTCATTTATTTTACGCTTAAGAGAACATATTAACGTGGTTTGAGTTTGTGGGCTTTTTCCACATCTGCTTTTCTATGAATGTGCTGGTATCCATAAGGATTTAAGAATTGCCATGTAATTAATGTAGAATGCAATTAATGTTATTGTTTCTGTTCGATTCCCAGTTTTTAAGGAGTTTGAGTGGTTTTTAAGTCTGCTGAGCTGATGGTTACTGTTTAGTTTGTGTGAGTGAACAGGTTTGTTTTTTTTTTTAGTTTTTCATTTACTTTCTAAAAGTTTTAGAATACTTTTGGCAGTTAGAGTTCCAGAAGCTGCTAAGCTAAAATATTTTAAAAATTGAGGGGGTGCTAAGCCAGTGTAAAATCAGTGTTTTCACCTAGCAAAGTAAATTTGAATATTTACCTTTCCATTCTAACTTTTAAGATTACTGGATTTATGTTACCTAGATAAGATTTTATGATCTTACTTAAGCACATCATCCCAGCAAAGAGACAAACAATGGCTTGGGAATTCACACACTGCCATTTAGTAGCTGTGTGACCTTGAACTATTCATTTACCCTATCTGGTCTCCAGTTACCTTTTTTTTTTTTTTTTAAGATTTTTTATTCATTTGAGAGAGAGAGAGAGCGAGCGAGCATGACCAGGGTCAGAGGGAGAAACAGACTCCCCGCTGAGCAAGGAGCCCCATGTGTGGCTCCATCCCAGGACCTCAGGAACAAGACCTGAGCTGAAGACAGACGCTTAACTGACTGAGCCACCCAGGTGCCCCTGGTCTCCAGTAATTTTATCTGTAAAATAGGGATGGGTAATCACTGTTTTACCTCACTGGGTAGTTTTGAGACCCAGTGGATATAATGGCTGTGAAAAACTACAGACTGCTAAATAAGTGTAATATATTATCATTAGTTTTAGAAAATTACAGTAGCTATTTTGAGGTCATTAAAAACAAGAGCTTCTCACCAGTGATGGTGATAGGGGGGTGACCTTGATGTAAGGTAGGTTGCAGATATGAAGTTACAGCAACTTATATTTTGAAACTGCTGCTAAATTGGTAGTGGAACTTGGGCCCAGTTTCTGTTATTTTTTATTATTATTATTATTATTTGCATCAGCATGGTAGATACTTTTTCACCATATCTCCTACTGAATAAATTTATTAATCATCCTTAGAGAAATTTCTTTACATTTTTATTATTGATAACCTGTATGTGTTCAGGTCTGTGGCTCTTAAGAAATTGCTTTCTAATGTCAGAGACTACAGTTAAGGGGAAATATTGCCAAATCTTGATCTGTTTTCTTTACAGGATTTAGGATTTTGTTTTCTTTTTTTAGTTCTTTTAAGTGGGTGGGTGAGGATCTTTCTGAGCAAATAGGATACCAGTTCACCCTTTATCTTTCTGTTTGCTGAGGTAATTGAATGGACTCAAGTTGAAAAAGCAACCTGTTTGTTGCTTTTCCTCTTCATTCATGTTCTTGCTACTGCCAGCCTGACATGCACTTTTCCTTTATTTAAACCATTTTAGGTTCACTTCAACTCAACCCTTCATATCACTTCCTCAAAAACTTCTACCCCATGAGCTTTTCCTTTTTATTTCTTGGTTATCTAAATAAGCTCCATTTGGGGATTATAGTGCTGAATTTGTTGACATGTGTTCCTTTTGTTTCCCTAACTGGATTATAGCCTTTCCGAAGTCAAGGATTATCTTGTATCACTGTGTTTTGCATGAAGGTGCACTCACATGCCTGATTGAAAATAATACCCATTTTCCTTCCCACTCCAAACCAGTAATGTTAGCCTAGTCTTGCTGACTGTGCAACCAGTCTTCCTGCTTGGGAAGTTTCTTAGCCTCGACAGATTCCTCAAGACGCTATTTGGTTTTGTGATCACAGCCTCTTCATGTCTTCCTGACTGCTGTACCATCGAGTGCCGGGAAAGGGTGGAAGAGTAAGAAAGAAGTTGATGGATATTACACCATAGATAGATAGAATCTATAGATTGTTATATAATCCTGGTGCTTGTAGTTCTTAACATGTAATGTTAACTTTACATTTGTGTGTTTTCTTTCAGTGCCTCTGTATAGTTCATACAGATTCTTGAAGGCCTAAACCCCTAGCAGTTATTCTCTATAATCGCTACCTGGTCTGCTAGGTTACTCTGACACACAGTGGGTGCTCACTGTTAGAGTAAATAGGTAAATAGACTGATGCTGAACCAGTCTCTTGATTTTTTTTAAGTAAAATTTAACTTGGTGAGTGTTCTGGATTTTTAACAATGCAGTTCTTTAAATCTAATACCCTGACTTACTGATTTTAGGTGATGGTCAAGAGAAATTGTTTCCTAGGCTGAGATAAGTCTGCTTCACAGTTCTTCTCTGAGGCCTTTCAGAATTTGGTTGTGATTCTTCTAGTTTCATTAAACTGGGTTGGCCAGAAGAAAAAGGAACTTGTCCATTATTCAGACCTACCTGTTTTGACTTGAGTGTGCAGAAGCTATTAGTAATTTTGCAGCTCTGCTTGATTTAAAAAGTCATTTTAGTGGTCTAGAGTGAAAAAAACTGCTTGCTACTCTGTCCTTTTCATTAGAGAACAGCATTTATTGTTCAAGTGAACATCTGATTTGAAGGTAGAATAATTGGGTAGTGGTCTTGACTGCCTTTTCTGTCTTTGTGACCTTGAGCAAATAGTTTAACCTTTGTGAGTTTCAAGTGCCTAATCTGGAGTGTGGTTATTGCCACCTAACCTAGATTTAATTGTCATTTGTATGCTAGACACTGTTGAGGAGGTTAGGCTATGAAGCTAGATTGGAACACAGGGCCCTTCCTCACTGGTTCATTGCCATTGCCTTATTTGTTAACACCCTTCTACCT